CTGTTGCTCTGAAAGATTTTCAGAAAAATTGTTCTTTCTAGATGAAAAAGGGGAAAAATGAAATAGGACTCACCATCCTCATGCCCTTCTCTATTTCTCCGCCGATGTCTGTCTCGCCGGTGGCTAAGCACTGACTCTGTTCCTGTTTCATTGTCCAGGCCATCCCGGCTGCTGGCAGCATTTGGGCTGTTAGAGAACAAATAGCAAGAAACAGTGGAGTCATCTCTTTTTTTCTTTTTGATAAAAGCAGTTGCAGTCGAGCACATGTTGGTGTAGAAGCCAGAAAACTATCACACGGATTAGCTGCAGTCTTCCTGCAGCACTGCAAGCTACCCCAGACTGCTCTGTTCACCCCAAAACTACCCGAGGGGTGAAAAGACAGTTCCACATCCATGCCCTGAGACACAGCACTACTTGCACAAGTAGCATCATCATGACATTGAAAAAGCTGCCACAAGATTATTGCATGAAATTTCCACAGGAAAAACGCCTACTGATGGCCTTCAGTGCCCATTTCAGCATGTGGTGAGACGCCAGCTAACTACAAGACAGCTTTAGCTGCTAACACACTTGGAAAGGAAATGGGATTTCAGCACAGTGCCATTATGAGAGCTTTAGTATTCCAAATTTGCAGCATACCTGTCTAACACAAGAACAGACAACACCGGTTTTTGGAAGAACAAAAGTTATTGACCCTAACACTCACCTCAGCCTCCAAAACACCCCAAGTTCCTATGCACCCCTTAAACCCTCCCGTGCTCATTCTGAAGATCACAGATCCAACAGACACAATACGTATGAGCTCCTCTAGTAACGCCAACATGACACGCTCTATCAGGGGCTTATTCTCAAGCCTGTCAATTGAGTTGCATTTTCTACAATATCCCAATATATAACTATATTTTCTTAAATCAAACTTGGTGTTTCAGCTCAATTCCTTCTTCACCCCCGAACAGGTTTGTTTTCCTGACAATAACCCGAGCTAGGTGTGTCACATGTGACAGCCAAAGGGCAGAAGCTATAGCTCACTGTGGCCACTTATAATATAGAGCACTGACCTTGAAAGACTGAAGCCTTGCAAGTCACAGCAAAGCTCAAAATAATAAAGTGCACCTCTGCGAAACGTACGGATAGACCCCAGGTCCTTTCCTCATGGTCTCAGCTGTTTGTAAGCTACACAGATATGCCAGCACAGTACTCATCCAGCAAGTCCCAGTGAAAGACGAGTATGAGCGAGTGAGCTTTGGGCAAAAAGCAAAAAGATCTTGACGACGATCTCAGCAGTCAGATTTCTTCCACTCTGCTTTCATGTACTGAGAGTCACTTTCTCGCTGCTACAACTAGGGAGAACAAAAAGTTTCAGAGAAGCAGCAGAGAATTTGTCCCCCTGGTTTAGGGCCCCTTCCTGCGATGAATCTAAACAAACAGCAACGACAGCTCTTGAACTTCCAAGCACCGAGGAAGTGCGATTTCTCAGATCATATAAACCAGTCTGGCTTTCGGTTCCAGTTTCAATAGACCAGTCCAGCCAGCTAGCCAAGAGCAGTGGCTGTACCACAGAATACGGAATATGTAAGACCGCTGATTTGCAACCATCTGTTTCAAGATCTCCACTGAGGAAAAAAAAATCATGTTAAAGCAGAGCTGGCTGGAGTGAAGGGGAAGATGGAGATGCTCCTCTTTATGCTGCTGGACAGAACTAGCTCAGCTGTTCAGTCGTCCCCTCAGCCTCAGCCTGTTTTATGTATCTCTGCTATTCTTACACGTAACAAGCTACCCTGAAGTGATCGGATGGAAGGAAATGAGCAGAGCCTCTGGGAGTGCTGGCAAAGGCCATAGCTCATTTTAACACACTAAAATGTGGAAACTCATCTAAAGCTCCTGAAAATACAATAACGCAATATCTGACGTGGGCTAATGCTCTGCTGCGAACGATTTCCCTTAGAAAGTTACTGGTCATACTCCTCCTCTCTGCCCCACAAATACCACCCACTTCAAAAGGGGTCCTGACTCACATCTGCCCTGTGCCCCTGCTATTTATGCCTGACACGTCCTACTTACAGCAAAGCATCAGAGCCATCAATGTACTTCTAGAATTCGATGAGGCCGGAGTACACCGCCATGCACATTTTCCACAGGGAATTACTCTACCAGCGATCTGACCAACCGGTCCCGTGGGCTTCTGTGGAAGCCGGACCCAGAATGCTGTACGTGTGAGGACACCTGCCTAGCGTCACATTTAAGAGCACTGCTGAAAAGCCTTCTCCACACCCACACACTTCCTCGGCACTAATGAAGTGTACTGACATGCCCACCACACGAATTAGGAAATCGAGGTTGTTACTCAAGGGAACAGTTGACTGCACATTGACAAGCCCTAAGGAAGCTACCACAGTGCAAGGATGTATGGCAGTGTCGCCACAAGTACGTCTGCACTTCGGTACAGCCGGGAAGGGAAGGCGGGTGACAGTCCCCAGGTGCCCCTGCCAGGCTCCCAGCCATCCCAGCAGCACCATCTAGTGACTGCTGGTACTTTCCACCGCCCCATGGCTTCCCAGGCTGAACCCGCCTCCAAAAGGTGGGTCACACCCCAACAAAGGGCGCAGAAGAACCCCACAGCTGGCTTCTTTGCCCTCTCCTTGCTGAGCCAGGTCGGTTCAACAGAGCTGCAGGTGCACATCCCAGAGCTGCGGAAGGCAGGTAGCTTGGGGGCCGCCATCCTCAGCTCGCCCACGCTCCTCCACCACCAAACCAGGAGCAGCCTCACCCGCTCAGATGGACGTCGATTTGGCAACCACGAAAGAGAAGCAGCAGAGCATGAAACGCAGGATGAACTTCAGAACCCTCATCAGGTAGGGAAAAAGTAAATTTTCTTCGGATTTAATCAATGAGGAAGCAAAATCTCCATGCTGTGAGGCAGCTAGCTAAGATTATCGCTTCAGCTCTGACGAGGATCTCACTCCCGTGGATGGTTTTGCCTGCCAACCTGTCTGCTTCGCCTATTTCTTGTATCTTTGCTGTCCAGCAATATTTCTGTTTGTACAATTATACAACACTAGCTCAGTTGGGGCTTCTTATATAAATGAGGCCCCAACTCACGCCAAAGAAGGAAGACAGGAGATGACAGATCTCTGGTAGTTTGAATAGCATTAAAAAAAAAATCTCAGGGATTTAGGAACCAAGAAGTTAAAGCCTACTTGCAGAAGAGGAGGTAATATGCAAGTATACAGCAATACCGAAGCTACAGCTGAGAAAGTTACAAGACAGCACTACTGATCTCTTCAATGGAAACACCACTCCAGGAGACAGTATGCAGAAATGGCACTGAAAACGCCACTGCAGAATCACCACACCAAAAATCCCAAGAATCATCATTTTCAAAAATTTCTGAAGAATTGTGAGTGATCAGCAGAGAACTACGGTCACGCTTCGAGCTCTGGAAGCCATGCTTTACAATAAAAGACTTGAGCAGCTCAACTTCTTTAATTTATCCAAGAAAAACAAATAATTTCAAAATGCAGTGGATTCTTTATCACTTGGAATCTTTAAGCCTAGAATGGGCATAGTTTAAAACAAAATTCTAATAGAGAACCACAGTTAAGGACTCCATGCAGAGTACCTGAGTGACACACTCTGCCCTGTGTCACCGACATAAACTCAGGTCATCATTAGGCTCTCTTCTGGACTGAAAAAATAAAACAAAACAGCAAAAAGCACTGCAAAAGGTTAAGACCTTCATTTGTGAAGAACCAAAAAAGGCACTAAGGAAGAACAAGTTTTAGACCAGAAGACCTCCCCACAAGTCAAATTCTCTACTGCACTTTAAAACAAGGAAGAGGAAAGGGGTGGGGGAGAGAGAAAGGAGGAAGGCGGTTTGTCTAGGAATGAGAACCCAAGCCAGGAAGCACAACCTCCCGTGCTGCTCCTCCTGACTCAGCACGACCTGTGCAAGTTACTTCACCCCTTTGAGGGTTCCCACGTTTGCTCTGTAACGTGAAGATACCATCACTGGCAGCACTGGGCTGACTGAGGGCAGGAAGGCACAGATGAGATGCTCAGAATACCACAGGAGATGGCAGGTGCCTCAGCAGAGCACAGCTTGCATTTTACCAGCTGGGGTACATACAGGCACCAGCAGTGAGTGGTTCCACAAACACAGACTTGTGCCTAACTTACGATGTAATTATTTTTCCAAATAAAGTTTGATCTTGCAGCTGTTACATGTAGGTACAGGCCAGGAAGACAAAGAACTAGCTATATTTGCAGGCCACGTGACTGCACTCATCTCCAGGCCTCTCCCAGCCAACATCAGGAGATGCATGGACGCAGGAGGGCAGTACAGCCCTTGCAAGACACCCACTGCCAGGCTGGGTTCCTATTTCCCAAGATTTCTTGTCCGCTCCAGAAGGCATTTATCTGTAAAAGACTCATACACGACACTGAGGGCTCTGCCAGGCAACAGGTATCCCGGAAAGCAACGGAAACGCATGACAACAGGCAAACCAAGGCCACGCTTCCTTCTCCAAACATATGCTAAGGTCACAGCTAGAACCAGGTCCTGCTTTAAATACTCCTCGTGTGAATTCAGAGGGCCTCCCCGAAAATGAAGGTATTCTGAGGGTATACACTGCACACGGAACAGGAAATAACAAGGCTACCATTAAGCGAGATGACTCCCAGTCTGGCTCTCCCCAGTTCAAGCTGCCAGCCTCTGTAGGCACATGGAGGAGGCGTTATTCCTTATGTAAATTTTTGCTCTTGATATCAGTGTTCTGCTGGCTTTGCATGCTACATAATTATACGTAACGCAGTAATACAAGGTTGTCATCCGTGCACTACAAAAGCATTTTGGGCTACCTCTCTACTTAAGTCTTCCACAGAGGGTTTCAAAGTGAGATATATAGGATATATATTTCATTCTAATGATGACAGGCGCTTTTTCTTCCAATCCCCCTTTTAATTCCTCAGTTCTAATAAGTACATTCTTTTTCTAACAATAACAATAAATAGCTGGTTTGCAGCAGCAGGGAGAAACGTGGGGAAGAAATAGACAGGAACTGCATTTTTTGGTTTAAAATAATAATAAAAAAAAAAGACAACTTGCTCTTACTGGAACGATGGAGGCCGGGAGTCTCCAATGCCGCCTGTTCTCTCAAGGGGTGGTGGAAGGTCAGTGTGGCTCTCGGTGCACTGGGAGCCTGTGTCAGAGTGGGAGCTTTCAGCCAGGACCAGCTGTCAACAGAAAGAAGAGAATTACACACGCTCGTACAGGGTTCTCCACTCTGACATGAGGTGTTCAGCCCCCGCTCTGCTAAACGCTCTGCGAGGTCCAAGGGAAACCAGAGGAAAGGAAGCGCGTAGTGTCTAGCTGCATGGATTCCTGCCAAACTTCCATAAAATCAGGTTACATTCGATCTCAGCATGAAAACATCATCAGCTGGGATATGCAGAAAATTCCTGCAAGCGCCACAATTTTTTTTTTTCGCTCATCTCAGAACAAACGAGCACACCAGGCAGGGAGTGCCTTCTTCCCGTGACTTGTCATGATGGCATTCTCCGAGCTGCCTCAGCATGCAGGCTGTCAGCATTCCTTGCAAAATGCACGCACATTGTCAGACTGCACTCTCAGTCTGGGTTTGCCATGACGAAAATAAAAAGCAAAAGCTGAAATATGACAGTACGATGGCCCAAACGTGGTATAACTTCTTCTACAAAGCCCTTCGAAACCCTTGAAAACTCACCATCTGGCCTGGACCAATCACCAGATCTCAGAGTTGCCACCATCTCTATTAAGAGTCCGAATTAAAACCAAAATCAATCTCAACAGCCACACACTTTAGGAAGAGGACCAGGTTCCCGATGCTCATCGTACTCGTGTCTCTTGTGCCCATTTTGTCTCTTAATGTTCCCCGAAGGCAGAGCTGAGATAGGAAAAGTCATTTTCCAACCATGCCACGAAAAGCAGGATATGCAGTGTGCTCCCTTCTGTAATTCACACTGACCTGATGACTTTTATAAAACTTCACTGCTGTAACTCTCACCCTCAGAACTCCTCTGACACTGGCGGTCACGGGAGCTGCGGGTGCCTGGCACCCAGGGTGGAAGGAAAGGCCGCGGAGCGCCCAACACACCGCGCTCACGGAAACGGGCAACGAAAACGCGCTGCAACGACCGACCCTCTCGTTAGGAAGAGCTGCCTGGCGCTGCGGAGTGGCTGTGTATTCCAGGCCGTTACAAGGCAGGGTGTAAGATCTTCACGTAACAACTAATGCTGCCGTGTATTATTTCTATTTCCCATCAACATCCTCAACCCTTCACAGCGGTGCTCCTGGATAATGGAGCACAGGCACGGTCAGGGCACACAAGAGGCTTACTATACTCAATTTTACTTCCAGTAAATTCAAGAAAGAGCATCTCCATTCAGTACACCTAGTGTGATATCTTTAATCAGCAGACAAACAGACAAGAAGAGTGAGTCTCTCTTCCTAGCCCCACCTTCCTGGTTTGTAGCTCATTTTAATACACTGATTGACAGAGGACCTTGCATTTAATTAAGATCTGATTCTATCCACTTCTCTACTAGCCTAGTATCTACTTTTCAGTACTTCAAAAAAAAAAAAAAAAGCTTTCTGTTACAGGATCCTTTTTTACACCTAGGTTAAACTGGTTTTCTACATTAATTTTTTAAAAAAATCTTACTAGTGCTGGAAAAAGCTCCTGGCTGAAGCGTACACCCAGGAACCAAACAGAGCAGGTCTCTTCTCTACCAATGACTCAGTAAATCTTCTATAAGAAAATCAGCATTTGTGCCTCAGTTTCCTAACCCAGAAAGGCAAGCTACTAACGATTTTGTACAACTGAGATTAAAATAATTAACATGTCCAAATGCAAGTTAAATCCTAGGGTAGAAGAACGACGCACTGGGTAAAGCACCACTAATAGAAAAACAAACAATGTGCAGTGATCCAAGATTCCTTTCAATTTATCTCTGCAAACAGAATGCGGTGACTCCCAATTAGCAGCTCCAGTTCTAATTCAACTTCACCTGCTAGATTAAGTGGTTATTTTGTGTTAAAAAGCATAATGGTGGAGAGATTCCAGTCCTCTGCTATTCAAACCGGGAAGGCCGATGACCAACGTGAGAGGTGGTGCCCAAAATGCAAATGGAATTCCACCAGCTGAATGACCCGGTTACTATTTTAAATGACCGTATAAAAATTAGTCTCCCATTAAGCTGGGCATCCTACGCAGACAAATCAAGGCAAAATGAAGCAACCTGCTCAGCCTCACACAGGAGGTCTATAGTGGCCCTGAAAGCAGACTCCGACTTTGCACACCCTAATGTAGTTCCATACTTTCCTTACTATATTTTGAATGTTTTTGCAAGAAATGGTAAAAACCCCCGCCCAATCCGGAAGGAAGCTAAAAACGATTCACGTATTTCAACCGTCCACTGACCACACACAAAGCTTTCTGGCCACTACCAGCAGAAGTCAGACCTGAACTAGTGACCTAGGGGTGAAAAGGTTTCTATCCCATTACCGATCCCCCGAGCCACCTCGAGTCTCTTTAAACAATCTGTTTATAAGATCTTTAATTAAATGAATGCTCAGATAATGATATAGATTATTACCTTTCACTAAGGAGCACCAAGGTCTCAGCTTCCCTCTACTTTTAGCTGTGGAAGAACTAGCCCTATATAAGAGATTCCGACTATAATTGGTTAATTAATCAAGGACTGACTCTAATATAACCATCAGAGAGACGCTAGCTGTTAAAGCAGGGGATGGAGAAGGAGAGGGAACAGGACAGGAGGGGACTGGCATTCAGGATCCAGTATATTACCCCTAAGAGCACACACCATAAATACGAGCAGGCAAACACACACAGACTGTCAAAAAAAGGAACTGCCTGAAGACAAAACAGTTCTCCAGCACCACATGGAGTCAGCTGCATTATTCAAACTCTTATCACCAAAACTAGAGCAACAGAGGAAACACTGACAGGAAAAATAACATGACCTTTCCTAATAACTTGATAATTAAGGTTTCTTCCTTTCAGGCAAGGAAGTTAATGGGAGATGTTTAGAAAGTATGTTGGCATCGTGGAGATGCAAGAATGTCTCTGAGCCTGGCTCATCCCCGAGGAATCTCTGTGCAAGTGCTTTCACTAACAAAATCAAACCAAGAGACAAAAGAAAAAAGAAAAAGACACTGGGTGTAGGCAAGATCTACACATCTCCTCACCCTTCACATTCTGAATTGTATTGAGCTATGCGAACAAGCACCTGGCCTGAGTTATCTGAAAGCAGGGACACACGTTCCTCCTTGAAGCCTTTCTGCTGATGGCAACATCCGTCCCAAAGCTGAGCTTGATGTGAAGAGAGAGACGAGCCAACCAGGCTAATCCCTTCCATATTTCAGGATATTTGTTCTTTTGTATTTCCCTGCTCCTGGAGGAAGACGTCTTGGCAATGCAGAACCTGTTCTGAAGGCAAGCCCACTGTACTGATCGAGGCTGCAGATCATCTGGGGAGTGCTGCTAAGCAGAAGAAAAATCCACTGCAGCAAAGCAACTCCTTTATGAATATTGCCCCTGGACTGTGATTTCCTGAAGGATAAAGCACTGGGTACCTGCTTCTTATTGACCTTCGGTGGGATCAGTCTCACAAACAGCCTCAGACTACGCCATTACCATTCTAAAGGGAATAGGGCTGCAGAAATCACCCACATTCATCTTTCAGCTGCATTCAGGAAATACACCACATTCAACTTGAATCAGTTCACTACCAGATGCACTGAACTCGAGACATATTCGAACTCCAGAAAAGATACTAGTAATATCTCCTGTTTCCAAGTAGCTTGGTAAAAGTCTTTTCGATTTCAAGTAGTAAATCCTAAGCAGAACAGCCCTGACAACGCAGGGGCCAGTGCCAAACTCACTTTTGCTGTCTCAAGTTAAGGTCCATGCTGCACTGGCTGCACTGACAGCTGCACACAAAGCACACTTACTGTAATTTAAACTTTTTCATGTATAATTTAGCATTAGAAAAAGATTTGTTGTGCTAGAAAAGAAAATCTGTAGTAGAAGATGGCACACGCAGCAAGAGCCTGGTTTGCTTCCCATGACTGCTACAGATCTTCAGGGAGTCCTCCGATCAACTGCTTCACCTCTCTGTAGCTCCACTTCCCTTCTTCTCCTCTACACCACGTTCACTGACGCTTTCCACTTAATTATGGCCAGGACTGCCCTTCATAGGGCTCGGCACGCCGCAGACATCTTAACACACTCAGACAGGCATCGAGGCAGCTCAGGGAATCAGCCTGTCCAACACACATGGCTGAAGATACCAGACAAGAACCAGTCTGGGAAGGGGGAAGAGGAAACACTGGTACACTCTGCTCTCATATTCTCATCTGGCTGAATATTTATTAGTCTACCAGCATGAAAACTACAATGTTTAAATTCTCACTGGTACTGAGAGCAGCAGCAGCTCTCCGTATTTCTCCCAGCTCAGGGAGAGGTGAGGGACTGATAACAGTAACTAAAGAAATGCCCCAAAAGAGCCATTTGTATTTTTGACAGCAACTTCAGAACAGCCACATTCATCTACAAGTTGAAAGTAATTACTTCCTATAAAGTCACAGACATCTCAAATCCCAAGTCAAAGCTTCAGAGACATGGCCCATTATCCACATGAAGGCTGCTCCCGAAGGACCAATTGCACAAAAGGACTTGCTGATGAGGCCCTTCATTCCACCAGGAATTCTGTCAAAGACAACAGGAATCCACATTGCTGGAAGGCCTGAAAAAGCCTATCAGGAACGTGATGTTTATTTTAGTAACGAGAACTTGTCTATGCCGGGTAGATTACACTTCCCCCTTTCTTCCTGCTG